TACCGCTTGAGCCACATCCCCAGCCCAAAATATTTATTTTTTTTTTTACTTGTAGCTGGACACAATACCTTTATTTTATTTATTTATTTTTATGTGATGCTGAGGATCGAACCCAGGGCCTCGCACGTGCTAGGTGAGCGCTCTACCGCTGAGCCACAACCTCAGCCCTTGACTGCTCTCTTAATGGGGAGAAATGTTAGAGAATCTTGGCAGTTTAAGAAGCAGCCCGTGTGCAACAGACATCTTGAGAAAGAAGACATACAGGTGGCAAGTAAACATAGGAAGAGATGCTCAACATGTCAAAATGCAAGTTTTTAAAACAATGCAATCGTTCCTGTAATCCCACCACCTCTGGAAGCTGAGACAGGAGGACTGAAAGTTTGAGGCCAGCATCAGCAATTTAGCAAGGTTCTGTCTCAAAAACTAAAAGGTGGGCTGGGGTTGTGGCTCAGTGGTAGAGCACTTGCCTAACACAGGTGAGGTACTGGGTTCAATCTTCAGCACCACATACAAATAATAAGTAAAATAAAGGTATGTGTCCATCTACAACTAGAACAAAACAAAACTAAGCTAAAAGGTGATAAAGCATCCCTGAGTTCAATCCCCAGTACCAGAAAMAGAGAGGTGGGGGAGTACAGTAGGAGGCAAAGACACTGAGATGAGAAAGTTTGAGATTCTCAGATTTATCTGCGTTCAACTGGTTCTCCCTGCTGTATGTGTCAGGGTTCCAGTCCTCGCAACTAATACCCAAATTTTTGTATTAGCAACTCGGCAAGGCTTTAAATTCAGTTTTGTATGTAATTTTGAAACCTACTCGCTTACATTGGCATATTGAATTTTCAGGGCCTCCCCACCCAGTTTAAAAAGAAATAAATTCTTAGCCAGACACGGTGGTGCCCACTTATGTGGCTCGGGAGGCTGAGGCAGGAGGATCTCGAGTTCAAAGCCAGCCTAAGGAAATGAATCAGACCCTGTCTCTAAATAAAATACAAAAAAGGGCTGGGCATGTGGCTCAGTGGTTGAGTGCCCCTGAGTTCAATCC